GTTGCCTTGGCTAAGGCAATACGCTAACCAGGAGGATGCAGCGTTCCTGTGGCAGGGTTTTAGGGAGGGCTTCGTGATCCCCTTCACGGTTAAGGAACCAGGGGCGGTTTGTGCCAATCTTAAATCGGTGCGGGAACGCCCGGAGGTAGTGCGGGAAAAGCTGGCCAAAGAGGTCCTTTTGAGGAGGATGGCGGGGCCGTTCCCGTATCCTCCTATAGCGGAGTTGCGGATATCCCCACTTGGAGTGGTCCCCAAAAAAGAGGCTGGCAAGTTTAGGTTGATTCATCATTTATCGTATCCTAAAGGGTCATCGGTGAATGATGACATCGACGCAGCACTCTGTTCAGTATCTTACACATCATTCGACAGGGCAGTCGAGTTGGTACGGAGAGCTGGGCGGGGAGCGCTGATGGCGAAGGTGGAAGTGGAGGCAGCGTTTCGGCTGCTTCCCATACACCCGTCATGTCATCACCTCTTGGGGTGTTGTTTTGAAGGGGGCTTCTTTGTGGATCTGTGCTTGCCGATGGGTTGTTCCATCTCGTGCGCCTATTTCGAGAAGTTTAGCACTTTTCTGGAATGGGTAGTGCGACAGGAATCGGAGGGGGGCACGGTTGTGCATTACCTGGACGACTTCTTATGTGTCGGCCCTCGAGGCTCAGACCGGTGCAAGCAGATACTACGGGTGTTCCAATTGGTAGCGCAGACGATGGGGGTTCCTTTGGCGGAGGACAAGACCGTGGGACCCGCCACGTGTCTCAGTTTTCTGGGTTTGGAGATCGATTCGGAGATCGGGGAATGTAGATTACCACAGGACAAGTTGCACAAGCTGAAAGACTTGGTGCACACAATTGGGAGAGCACGGAAGGTGACGCTGAGGGGATTACAGTCTCTGGTAGGGAGCCTGAACTTTGCGAGCAGGGTCATACCCATGGGGAGGGTTTTCTGTAGACGATTGGCGCGGGCGACGAGCAGGATACGGATGCCGTCACACTATATCAGGGTTTCCGCGGACATGAAGGCGGACTTAGAGGTGTGGGATCGTTTTTTGAGGGACTTCAATGGCAAGGCCTTTTTCCGGGAGCAAGTGGTGTCTTCGGAAGCAGTGGGGCTGTTTACGGACGCTTCGGGCAGCGTGGGGTTTGGGGCTTATTTTGCAGGACGGTGGTGTGCCGAGGCATGGCCCGAGGCATGGAGGGCGAGCCCATTGATCAAGAATCTGGCATTTTTGGAACTCTTCCCTGTAGTGGTTGCGGTAGCATTGTGGGGAGCTGAACTAGCAAACAAACGAGTCGTGTTTTATTCGGACAATATGGCCGTGGTGCAGGCAATCAACGGTTTGTCGGCATCTTCGCTTCCGGTATTATGCCTACTGCGGCGTTTGGTGCTCCTCTGCATGTCTTCCAATTTAGTATTCAGGGCTAGGCACATTCCGGGATTCTCAAATGTGGTGGCTGATGCGCTTTCTCGTTTTCAGTGGGATCGTTTTCGGGAAGCGGCTCCAGAGGCACGGGAATGCGGGCAGGCTTGCCCAGACGAGATGTGGTGACTCGGGACATCGTGCTTGGGGAATACATAAAGAAATCTTTGGCACCGAGCACGTGGTCATCTTATGCTAAGGTTTGGAAGGAATGGGAGGAAACGGTTGAGGAGGTAGGTGGGGACCTTTCGGAGGGCCATAGGCTGGATGTCTTCCTATGGTTGTTGTGCCGGTTGTTTGCAAAGGGGGCTTCGCCGGCCATGGTGGACAGGCATATGTCCGCCTTGGCTTTCTGGTTTAAATTCCATGGGTGGGAAGATTTGACAAAGCATTTCTTGGTTCGACAGGCGGTTCGGGGTTTTCGGAGGGGGAAGACGTCGACGGACGTTAGGAGACCGGTGTCTTTTGCGGTCTTACAAGGTTTGGTGGGAAAGTTACCGGAGTTATGTTCCTCGCCATTTGAGGTGGTCCTTTTTTCTGGTGCGTTTTTCTGGGCGTTTCGGATCGGGGAGCTGGTTAGCGCAAACAAAGTGGGAGTTGGTGGCTTGCAGCGCGAGGATGTGGAAGTTAAGAGTGATCGCGTGCAGATTAGGTTGGGCCGATCGAAAACTGATGTTTTCGGCAAAGGCTGCTCCGTGGTGCTATTCGAGTTGCCGGGGTCAGGGTTGTGCCCGGTGGCCTGCGGATCAGGGTACCTGGGGATCCGTCCTAACGTTAGCGGTTGTTTTTTCCTGCACGCTGACGGCACGGCGCTGTCACGGTTTCAATTCATTAGGATTTTTCGTTTGGGCTTAGTGAAGCTGGGCCTGCAGCCCACGCAATTCGGGTCGCATTCGTTCCGTATCGGTGCGGCTACAGAGGCGGCACGCTTGGGTTTGGGTGACGAGCGGATCAAGAGGATCGGACGGTGGGAATCCGTGCGGTTTCGCTCGTATGTGAGGCCCGACGGGATGGTGGAGCTTTGAGGGGTTAAATGGCCGGGACTGGGGGACACTGGCTCTGCGGTGTAATTAATTTTGTCTCTTTTCAGGTTGGAATGTTTGGTTGCTGGGACACTCGTTCGTATATTGGGCACAGAAGAGGGCCGCAGTTCGGAGACAAGGAACACAACTGGGCTTTCCTCTGGAACGAGCGGTCTTATCCTGGTTTGGTTTTCGAGGTTTTAGTTGGCAGAGCTTGAGTAATGTTTTATTTACAAAAGTGTCCAAGGGTCCGGTTCCGGATGTTGTAGTGGTGCACGGTGGGGGGAATGACTTAGGGCTGATTCCGCAACGGGAACTGTTGCGGCGAATGAAGAGGGACATGGATCGGCTACGGGAGCTGGTCCCTGACGTGGTGGTGGTGTGGTCCGAGATGGTGCCTCGTTTTACATGGCGTCACGCCAGGGACCCTGCTGCGGTGGCACGATGCAGGGGGAAGGTTAATAGAGCTATGGCAGTATTTGTTAAGAGGATGGGGGGAATAGTGGTGAGGCATCGGGAACTGGAGGGCATGTTGCCAGGTTATTATAGGAGGGATGGAGTACACCTGTCAGAGGTGGGGTGTGACTTGCTGAACTTGGGGTTCCAGGAGGGCATAGCCCGAGCCCTGTTTCAGTGTGGTGGGGGTCGCACATGGTCTTAAGGGGTCAAGACAAGTGCTGTGGCGGAACAGGGCGTGGTTAAGTTGGAAGTTATCAAGGAATTGGAACTGTACAGGCCAGGGCCTAGGCTGAAGTAGGCCAGACGGTGTCATGGTTGGTAGGTTCTAGCTCTTCGGTGGCGACGAACCTGGGGGTGTAGGGGTGTCTGGGTACACCCCTACAGTTATCATTATGATATGGGGCCTCGTTGGTAGGCCGGATGTTTACAAGTTTATTGGTAATTGATGTTAATTATGTTAATTATTGTTCATGTGGTAGGGTCATTGTCAGGGGATTGTGCGGGGGGATAATAAATAATGTCATTTATGACAATGACCCTAATTATGTTAATTTATTCATATTAATAAAGCTGTGGACGTTATACTCCAACAGTATTAAACGTGTCCGTGTATTATTAAAGTTAAAGTTTATAGCACATGCCGAATAACGACAGTGCAAATGTCAAGTCTTACCTTTGAACTCACAAATAGTCGTATTTCCACTCCATTTCCCATTGACCTGGCAGCTACGGCTCGCTGACCCCTTCATTTCAAATCCTGGCCAACACTCAAAATGCAGAACATCTCCAACATTATATATTGGTTTTCTGGGGCCATACTCTCCATTCACAAACATCACAGGAGTGGGACAGCGAATGTCTGGGAGTAAGAAACATTTTACTGGGAGGACAGATCAGACAGAGAGGGACAGACGCACAACAAGTGATTTAAACTAATGGGATTCCATAGCCCCCAGCACAGTGTGCAACACTGGATAAAATCATTATTTCAAAAGACTGTTTTTGATTTCGATTATTTGAATTCAGCAACAGTGAAGCATTTATTAATTCATAACAATATTATTATGATATGTTTTTTTTCTGTATTTTTAATGAGATGTAAATTTACACAAATTTTGATTCTCTGCCAGGAGAGTAGAGATTAACAAACTAAGCTGAAACAGAGGAAAGGTAAGTGGCGCTTAACAGGTAAGGCTGCGGAGCAGTGGAAGATGGGGCTTGACAGGTAAGGCTGCGGAGCAGTGGAAGATGGGGCTTAACAGGTAAGGCTGCGGAGCAGTAGAAGATGGGGCTTGACAGGTAAGGCTGCGGAGCAGTGGAAGATGGGGCTTGACAGGTAAGGCTGCGGAGCAGTGGAAGATGGGACTTAACAGGTAAGGCTGCGGAGTAGTAGAAGATGGGGCTTAACAGGTAAGGCTGCAGAGCAGTAGAAGAGGGGCTTAACAGGTAAGGCTGCGGAGCAGTAGAAGATGGGGCTTAACAGGTAAGGCTGCGGAGCAGTAGAAGATGGGGCTTGACAGGTAAGGCTGCGGAGCAGTGGAAGATGGGGCTTAACAGGTAAGGCTGCGGAGCAGTGGAAGATGGGGCTTAACAGGCTAAGCTAGAGTTGAGTTGAATGTAAAATGTGATTAACAGGCTAAGCTGAATCAAGGAGAAGGTAAGTGATGTTTAACAAGCTAATCTGCAATGGAAGGGAGGTAAGTGGAGCTAAACTGGAGTAGATGGAACATAAGTGGGGCCTACCACGCTATGCTGGACTGGATGGTGATGGAGAATGAATTATTTTATCTATGCAATGCTTAGTGAATATTCCCCTAGACATACAGAGCTATAAATATATGTATTAACCTATAGATGTATTGCATACTGAGATGTGGATTTAATAACATATATTATCGTATCAGTTGCAGCCAAGACAGAAAATTCTTGCTTTTATTCACTTTTATTCCACAGCGCCTGCTGACACAGAGACGATAACCTTTGCATTATTTAGAGAAGACGTGCTAGAAACATAGAAACATAGAATGTGATGTTAGATAAGAACCATTCGGCCCTTCTAGTCTGCCCAATTTTCTAAATATTTTCACTAGTCCCTAGCCTTATCTTATAGTTAGGATAGCCTTATGCCTATCCCACGCATGCTTAAACTCCTTTACTGTGTTAACCTCTACCACTTCAGCTGGAAGGCTATTCCATGCATCCACTACCCTCTCAGTTAAGTAATACTTCCTGATATTATTTTTAAACCTTTGCCCCTCTAATTTAAGACTATGTCCTCTTGTTGTGGTAGTTCTCCTTCTTTTAAATATAGTCTCCTCCTTTACTGTGTTGATTCCCTTTATATATTTAAATGTTTCTATCATATCCCCGTCTCGTCTTTCCTCCAAGCTATACATGTTAAGATCCTTTAACCTTTCCTGGTAAGTTTTATCCCGCAATCCATGAACCAGCTTAGTAGCCCTTCTCTGAACCCTCTCTAAGGTATCAATATCCTTCTGAAGATACGGTCTCCAATACTGTGTACAATACTCCAAGTGAGGTCTCACCAGTGTTCTGTACAATGGCATGAGCACTTCCCTCTTTCTACTGCTAATACCTCTCCCTATACAACCAAGCATTCTGCTAGCATTTCCTGCTGCTCTGTTACATTGTCTGCTTACCTTTAAGTCATCAGAAATAATCACCCCTAAATCCCTTTCCTCATATGTTGAGGTTAGGACTCTATCAAATATTCTGTACATGCGCAGTAGATTTCCTGTAATACGTAATGTTATATGAGAAATTTTACTTTTTGCACTAAACGTCTATGGACGTCAATGATAGTTTGATTTTGTCTTCTGTTGGATACACCCCTATGAAAACCGTGTTTTTGTTTTCATATATACACTGGAACTCCATAATGACTGGTGTACATGTATGTGCTCTGCAGTGAACATAACAAAGATTAAGGAATGCAGGATGTGTTACAGCATAGGTCCATGGCAGCGTAAGGGTTTCAGACCCTGTAAAATTTTGCAGCCTCATAGATTTTAAAGGTAAACATGGGTTAGGGAGCACTCTAAGCATCATAGCCATGACAGCCCACTGTAGTGATTATGGTGCCAGGAGTCTCCTGGCGCCATCTCACAGTAAGGAGTCAGACAGGTTTTGAACAGTTAGACCATTAACTGAGACCCCTGTGCACCTGTGGTCTTTCTGGTCTTCTCCATATCACTAAAGCTGAAGTTCCTTTTCAACTTTATCTATACAGATATTGTGCAGCTCTTCGTTCATTGTCTGACACTCTCAACTGTAGTGGTTATGGTGCATTGACCAGACCTTCAATAGGCAAACCTAGAGAATAAAGTAATGCATATACAGTGAAAAATAGCAGAGTAAGAAAAATTCTCCAACTGAGCTATACTTTCAGTTCTCCTTGGTTTCTGTTTAAAACTGAAAATACGTTGTAAGAAGATATAAGCAGTAATGGGTTCACACTCACTGAGGTAACGGGGCTTCAGACAGGCAGTGACACACTGGGAAGACTTACTTCTGCAGAAAGCCTTGACATTCTGTTTTGTCCATCCATCACTCAGGCACTCTCGTATGGATCCTGGGTAGGGGTACATTCCACTAGGGCAGCTGTACGTGACCACATCACTAGCTTCATTTACACTGTAACTACCTCCAGATATTTGTATTTTATTGAGATCACAGCTTCTTCTAGAAGCAGGAATGGAAGCTGGGGAA